GTATGCATGTAATTCAAACTGTGGTGAACAGTGCTGGAATGCTGCATGTTATTACTTTTGCGGCAGAGGCTACAAGCCCAGAATTTGAATATGGGTTGCATTTGCCCAACATGAAAACGGAAAATGGTAAGGAGTAGAAATAGAAGTCTCAGGCTTCTCAAATTTCATTTTGAAATGTTATAAGAACTATAAATATTCTTCCATTCATACAAACCCTCATGTGAAGCTGATTGGAATCAACAACATAAAAGAAGTATGTACAGTCAAATGAGTACACCACCTTTAAAAGTATGGATTTTACCAATAGCTCAGTAAACAAAACAACTAATTTTTTTTTCTAAACTTTTCACAAAAGTTTTAAAAAATTTTTGCAGGTAACCCGTAATAAAAACTACTACATTTAGTATCTTGTATGAGCACCTCCTTTTTTCTGTCCTTCCTCCCGCTGTGATGCCACCCCCACACAGCATCAAGTCTACTAGGCATGGAATGAACAAGTTGGCGACAGATTGCAATATCTGACTTTTTTTCATTCTTCACGAATAAACTCTTTTAGAGCTGGATGGAAAGTGATGCTCAACTCGTCGACTCAGAATTCCCCACAGGTGTTCCAACAGTAGCCTAAGACGTGTGTTTTGGATCATTGTTGTGTTGGGCATTGTTGTGCATCTTCTCTTTCAGTATAGAGCAGTACATTGTTGAGTTTATGATGCCATCAATGAAAAGCACCACCATGTTTCACTGTAGGCACCATTTTCTTTGAAATCCTCACCTTTACGATGCCATACAGTTTTGACTATTAGTTCCAAAAACAGTGATGTTTGACTCATTACTCAATAATATTCGCCGATTTCAGAGAGGATCTGGTGGCAAAAGCCCAGAATATAAAAGAAAAATCAAGAACAATCTCTTACTTTTGACTAAGTTCCTTTACTTCAACACTGTAAGGAGTTGTAGTTAGTCATTATCTGACAAAGTAAAATATTTAACATTACCGGTAATTTCTCTGCTGTTGATGTAGCCTTCAAGAAAACAGCCTGAGACAGTCAATGTTTAATATCAGGCCAATTGTCAACAAAAATATATCATCAATAGTTCCCGGTTTGTCATTAATGCCATCTGTACTTTGGGTTTTTGTCCCACTGGAACCACTCTTTCATTCTTTAAATGGTGGCCATGTAAAATAAGCGAATAGAGTCCCAGAAATCTTCTTCTTTTTCAGCATGGGCCCTAACAAATTCTAGGTGGGGTTTTTTTGGTGCAGGGGCTTTTGGAGAGGCTTCTCCTGTGGATGATACCCATGCATGCCATTCCTCTGCAGTGCGTGTTGTATGGTGTTCTGGCACACAGTCACTCCAGTTTGGCTTTCTACTGGTTTAGTTAACTGCAGGGAACTTGCATTTCTTTTACCCTTCTCCTCAGAAAATGCTCTCTTCGAGATGTTAATGTCCGTGGATGGCCTGGATGTCTATTTAAGATGGTTACACTTTGGATCACTCTTGCTACAGTATTTTGATTGATATGTAAAGCTTTGCTGATCTTGTAGCCCTCACCTTTTTGTGTAAAGAAATTATTTATTGTCTCAGATTTTGTGACATTTATCTTCCATGGGGAGCCATTGCTGACAGCATGAAATGAAAGGGCTTTTCTGTCATGAATAATTCCCTGCTGTAGTCACCTCTCTGCTGGGCACCTCTTAAAATAATCATTAGACTCACCTGTGGCCGAAAGCCTGTTATTTAGAATTTTAAAATCTTAAGTGTGGCTTTTCTCCTAAGAAATGAAACTTAAGGTTTTCTGACCATTGTGGTGGGCTGTACACTTATTTCTCGTTTGGAAAGCTAACACACAGATCAGTGATGTGTTTTTCTGGACACCAGCTACAAGGCTTGATTTTGTTCAGTTTCTATGGTGGCTGTAAAAGGCTTCCTCAGAAAACATAAGAATTCTTTGTTCTGATAATGGCTGAAACCTCTATGAGTCCTGCCAGTGATTGACCCTTTGTTACTGATTGCTTGTTGTTTTTCCTCCTCATCTGTAAATCGCTTTGGATTTAAACGCTTGCCAATATTTAATGTATTGTGTGTTTTTATGGTGTTAGGACATGCTTTCATCAGAAACAGACTCAAACAGAGTCGTGCTCTTTGTGGGTTTTGTTGTGTTCTTTCAATGACTCTTTGCGTGTTCTTCAGGTGTTCTCCTGTGTACAATCCCGGGATCTGACAGTGACACTGCTCTCGGACTGCGCTGTCTCGGAGTACAAGTCCTCTGAGTACTTGAGTGACAGCAGTGTCCCGTTCCTTCGCTGTCTCAAGACAGACAAACACTCCAAACCACAGCTGTGCCCTGCACTGGAGCCCCCAAACATATGCACTGGAGCAGCTGCCGCTGGTACACTCTCCATACGCAGCTGCCTACAGAGAAAGGTCACATGATCACGATCAACTGAAACCCTCTCTCTGCTTGCAGTGCTGAGCCACTGTCAGGTTCATCAGATTTCAGCGGTGCTCTTCCTGGGTTACACCGAAGGTCTTCACACAGACTCCCGCAGCATGGGGATGTATGCTGCTCCGCTGAGCTCGCTGCTGAAGGTCTGATATCTGGTTTATATGCAATTTGATTCTTGAGCATCTGAAACAATATGGGCTTAAAGCCCCAATTCTGAGCGCAAAAACTGTTAACTACCGTATTTTTCGCCATATAAGACGCACCGGCATATAACCGGCAATTTTAAACGAGGAAGATCTAGAAAAAAAAAGATTCTGAACCAAATACTGTAGTAAAATATTTTATATAAACTGTGTAAAAGTTAATAGCAGTTTAAGAACAGTTATATGCCAAACATGAAAAGTCAGTAAAGTCAGTAAACAAAACAAAAAAGTAAAGTCAGTAAAGTCAGTAACAAAAAAAGGCTGTTATGTTTTTATTCGAACCCCAATAATTCCTCTTCGTCAGGACAGATCCACGCAGTCATTGTCCTCACTTTCTTCCTCACTGGTGTCAAATAAGATGTTGTCTTCTGTTCCATCCAAGGCATTACTAATGCCACACTTCTTAAATGATTTTAGAACAATGTCCTCCTTCACGGAGTCCTATGTGCTATGGTAGGACGAGCAGAAATGGGCAGAGATGACTCAACGCGCACCGCCGGGTGATGGGAATTTTCCTATATAATACTACCATCTAGTGGCCATTTAGAGAAATTTGATTTGAGAAACTTTTAAGAGTACACGTCATACTTCAGTCCCACCCCTTGAGGAGGCTTTTAAGTTGAAATGAGAACGGAGGACGGGTCTCTTCTTCTTCCGGCGCTTGAGAGGCTCGAGGTTCTTTTCCAATGCAGATAACACGTGTGTAGGAAATACGTTGAGACTGCTAAATCTTTACAATAAATAGCCGCATTTGCTGTGTTCTCTCTCAAATGGTCTCCAGTGTTTATTATCAATTGAGAAGGTATATTTTTACCATAACAGGAGCTAGGCCGAAGCCACGGCCTCTCTTACTCCTCTCCCACGACCGTGACCGCCCTCCGCTCCGCGGCGCTCTGCATTCGCCGTATAAGACGCACCAACTTTTCCCCCTCAGTTTTGGGGAAGAAAAAGTGTGTCTTATACGGGGAAAATACAGTATTTTTGAGACATTTTGCACGAGTTTGAACTGTTTTTCATTAAAGTGTTCTTCTCGCAAATGTAACCCTATTTTGAGCGAGCAAAAATCAATTTTGAACATAAAAGAATCTCTTTAGGAACAATGGCCTCAATCGTGTGCTCACTCGAAACAAACCACAGATACAAACTACTAAAAGTCCAGCCAGAAAATGAAATAAACAGAAGCAGAATCATAACGTTTCTGTTCCTCGGTAATAACAGTATTTTTTCTAATTTCTTTAATACATATAAAGGCTCGTTTACACGCAGAAAGAATGTACCAAATGGCCGCTGTGGCAACATTTATTGCATAGTGAGCATTAACTGTATGTTTCTGTTCAATAAATTGATCTTGCTACATAAACATTATTATTTTAATTGTTTGAAATCCCTACTGAACAGGTGCTACTCAAATCAAATCAATTTTAACAGTTTAAAACTAAATTAAAACAGTTTAATACAATATGTGAAATAATTATTCGGCTAAAAAATTGTTTAACAATTTTCTTAACCTTGCGCGTCTCTGGATCGCGGCAGTCAATGTAAATATGACGGGTCTATTTTGCCTCGTGGAAGAACTCGCGCAGTGAGCCGCGCGTCAGTTGATGCTGATTGATAAAGTTGCAGTGGGCACTAGGTCCATGGAGAGCTCCTACCTCAGGTGGAGGAGATTAAGTATCTCAGAGTCCTGTTAACGAGTGAGGGGAGGTAGGAGCGTGAGATCGAAAGATGGATCGTTGCAGAGTCTGCTGTGATGCGGTCGTTGTATCTGTCTGTCGTGGTGAAGAGGGAGCTCTCGATTTACCGGTCGATCTACATCCCTACTTTCACCTATGGTCATGAGCCTTGTGTCATGACCGAAAGAAAAAGATCCCAGATACAAGCGGCCAAAATGAGTTTCCTCCGCAGGGTGGCTGGGCGCTCTCCTAGAGACAGGGTGAGAAGCACCATCACCCGGGAGGAGTTCAAAGTAAAGCCGCTGCCCCTCCACATTGAGAGGAGTCAGTTAAGGTGGCTCACGGAACCTGTTCTGGATGCCGCGTGGACGCCTCCCGGGGGAGGTGTTCCGGGGATGTCGCACTGGAAGGACCATGTCTCCCGGCTGACCTGGGAACCCCTGGGGGTCCCTCCCGAGGAGCTGGAAGAAGTGTCTGTGGGCGTCAATAATTGAATGTCTCCATTGCTTGTCGTTTTTCAGAGTGGAAACTTTCTGAGGCTCATCAGGAAGCTGAAGCTATTTCATGATTCTTTTGCACCAAAAAGAAAACATTAAATCTGCAGATTCAGGAGTTTTTTTCTGTTATGTTGACATTTATGCATTTGGCTGACGCTTTCATCCAAAGCCACTTACAATTTGAAAGTTGGGATTTGAACCAATGACTTTTGCGTTGTTAGCGCAATGCTACCAACTGAGCCACATGGAAGCTCATTTAAAACTGCCCTGAAATGCAGATTTATTTCTGTAGTTTGCCCTGTAGTTAAGTATAAACTGTTAAAAAAAAAAATTCCCGCGAGACCTTTCGTATCTCGAACATTTCGTAACTCCGAAGAATTTGTATCTTGGGGTACCATTGTTTCTGAGAGCCGTTGCACGGATTAGGCGTTTTACATGTAAAACTTGCTTCGAGACCCGAACGTCACCCTGGAACCCATTACTTTCGTATCTCGGGGTACCACTGTATATATAAAGACTCCTCTCTGCTTGACTGGAATTGTCAGTTCGTAACTGTGGTTGGATTCAAGCATGCGCATGAATGAGGGCATTGGTGCGATACCGTCTGCACAAACGCATAAAGAGATTTTAAACTCTAAATAGATTTTTGTTAGCTCAAAATTGGGGTTTTTTTGCAAGAAGAATATTTTATTCACAAAAAGCAGATTGTGTCCATGCAAAATGTCTGTGCACTTAAAATACGATTTTTTTGTGCTCAGAATTGTGGCTTTAATACTACTAGCCTATAAACAACTCCTGATCCGTAACGAGTTTCTGTGTCCTGCAGGTGGAGCACAATTTGAGTTCAGAAGCTCTACAGAGGATCACGGTCAGAGAGCTGCAGAGCAACCTCTACACATGAACAGAGTGCTTCTCTGACTGAACACCGGGTGGCGCTCTACCCACGGCATACATTTTACACAAGCTTGCAAAACACCTGAAAGGCATAACCCCCTTGCAAAAAAAAAAAAAAACCCTTGTAATAAAATTATTTTATCACAATATATACAAAATAATTTCCTTTATTTAATCTTTGATGTCTGTCACATTTAGTAGATTCACAGAATACTTTTTTCATATTTAGAACTTGAGCGTAGCTTGAATGCTTTGGAATTTTATGTGCGATAATTAGTCAGTGTGTTGTTTCTCAGTGAGTGTGAGTTTGTGGTCAGAGAAATCTCACCAGTTGGGTTGGTGTCAAAGATCTCAAGCTCACCCACGGCCTGCTGATCCAACAGAATAAATCCACATTCTTTTTTTTCCACATACTTCTCTGTTGCATGTATCGTCTTGTTGGATGAAATTCCAGAGCTCCTCAAGCTGCAGCATGAACCAGCTTCTCAACACACTGCTGAGCATGACGTGCTCCAAAGAAGTAATCTAGAGCAATGTTTACCAGTAGTAACATTGTAATAACAGTGTTACACAGCAGATTCAAGACTTGAGGTCCTGGTGACTTGTCCAAATTTGATTATAGTTTCAATTTACTCTGGACAGTTAAAATGTATCTAATCTCCTCACGCTACTCAACCAAAGTCTTATTTTGAGTATTTTCGTTGCGCATTAGGTATAATTAATTTCTATGAAATATCTTTATATTTGTTTAGTTTTCGCCTGGTCTCTAGGTATAATGAGCTAGTTAGGTACTTGTATATTCTTTTTGAACAGGGGTAGCTCTAGGGGTGCTCAGCCTCTTTTAAAATGAAAGCCCATTGCTTCCAAAATTATACAAATAAAGGAAGCTGACGGATTGACGTTTAAAAAATATCTAAACTTCTCTGACTCGAATTACAATGTCTTTTCTGTTTGGTACCACTAAAGGAATTCAGGGAAATTGCAGACAATGTTGGGAAATTTTCCATTTAAAAAAGTATTTGAACCCCAGGCTCTAGAACGGCCTAAATATTTACCATTCACTTGTAATGGCCTTTGAAAATCAATAGGGAAAGGCAACTAAATTGAATTTATTTAATGTAACAATTACATTTTTTATGATGACAATGACTGCACCATAGCAGCCAAAGCGACTTTACCCTAGCAACCAAATTTTTGTGAACTTTATCTCAGCTTTGTTACATAATAGAGACAATGGGAGTTGGAATATATACCCTATATGTTGGCAAATGCAAGATCACATTGACTGTGACCCCTCCATAGCAACTGGAGCGTTTAGCCCAAATGTGTCCCAGAATGGTTGCCACCCAATACAAGTGTATGGGAAAAAGCTGAATTTTAAAAGTCATTTCCTCATAATGTACAGCATTTACACAAACGCGACACAAATTTTCGTGACTCAAATTTATACAATGATCAAACTTCAATAGTTTTTTCCTTGGGTCAAGTTTATTTTCGTGTGGTTCCAGACGGTTTAATTTTCCCTCAACAAAACGTAATTGAAGGCTAAACCAAACAGAGCTGACTTACTGCTGTTCCTTTACGCTGCCAACGACTGAGGTCAGAGAAGTCTCTCTCAATTCTTGTTTATAAATACAAAATATGTTGTATGTAACATATGTGAGCCAGGCTTGAGGAAGCTCTGAAACCACGACCCTTAACAGGAAATTTTTGTATCTACTGAACACAAGGAATTACCTTTTCATGTGAAGATAAACAAATGTTTCGCTACAGAATAAAAAACTAAAACGCTTCTGAACAGAAGAATAAAGTGATATTGTAAATGGAAGTTTTTTTCATAATACATAAACGCTCACCTGATCTCTTCTACTCTACCAAGTTCAATTTTTCAAGTTCAATTTATTTGTATAGCACATTTAAAACAGCCATTCAGGCTGACCAAAGTGCTTCACAGCAAACACAATTGCAAAACATACCCCATGAATCATACACACAGAATAAAATAACCCACTTGACAACTTTATGATAAAATTAACAATAAACTTCATAACAACTATATGATAAAACAACTTATGATAAAACAAATAATAAAGATTAATAACACTTTTGGATAAAATTAATACACTAAAGAGAAAAAGTGAGTTTTGAGCAAAGACTTAAAAGAAAGCACCATTCTAATCTCTAAGGGTAAGCTATAGTTGAGGCTCTGCTACTGCAAAAGCCCGAGCCCCTCTACGCTTGAGCCTCAAATGAGGGACTACTAATAGAGCCTGGTTACAGGATCTGAGTGTTCTGGAAGGAGAGTAAGTTCAGAAAGGTAGGCTGGTGCTATATTATGTAGTGATTTATATACAAAGAGAAGGAGTTTAAAATGAATTCTCTGAGAGACTGGCAGCCAGTGTAGATCCTTTAGAATTGGGGTGATATGATCATGTTTACGACATTTCTGAAGAAGTCTTGCTGCCGCATTTCGAGCTTTCTCTTTTGTACCACTTTCTCTTTGCATTTTTAACACCATCGTACTTTTCATATGTCTCGTATTATCACCAGCTTTACTTAATATTGTAAATAAGAGTTACTTTGTGTGTGGTGCACCTGAAGTTCATCATTAGCACTCCTAAAGCTGCCAATATTTTTACATTTTAGCAAATATTAGTTAAACTTGCTCATTTAGCGCAGCTTGAATTATATTCCGAAATGTAAAATACTGGGTGAGTAGAACGTGAAAGTGACATTTTTCTTCCATGGGGAGCATTGCTGACCGTATCGGAAGGGCTTTTCTGTGTTAAATAATGTAGTCATCGGTCTGCTGGACATTTCTTAAATGAATCAATAGATTCACCTGCGGTCGAACGTGTGTTGATTTGAATTTTGTAACCTTTAATATCCTTTAATCTCCTAGAATTTTAAGGTTGTACTCATTGTTTGCAACATGGGCTTGAATGCATTTGTTAGGTAAATCACTTTTTATGTGTGTGCACATTAACTAACATTGTTTGCATTCAATGAGCCACATTTGTGGGAGTGTTTTGTAGTAGAAAATGTTGCTTCTGAAAGGAAACTAAAGGTTTTCTGTCAAATGTAGTGGCTGGTACTGAGTTCAAGCACTGTATTTATCTCCGGTTCTTCACAACGATAAAGCTCTGTTTTAATAATGCAGTTAAATCATAAACTGGGGTTGTGTGACGGTGTCTAGGAAGTGGAACTCTGCAGCTCAAGCGTCCGGATCAAATTCAGCGTTCTTGTATCATAACCTGTGATGTCATACATCAGATACAAGTTTATCATCAATGCATTTTAGGTGCCCTTGAAACCGGGGGGAGTGGGTGTTTACTGCCACTCAGATATCTCACAGTGAAATCACTCACCAGATGGATAAGAGTGTTTGTGTGACTCCTCCCTCTTACAAACACTTACAGGAAGAGCCGTTTTTCCAGAGAAACTCACCTTCACATAATTACCTTAATTACTGCCTGAAGGCTTGTGTTCAGGGGCCCCAGACATATGCAGTAAAGATGATTGCGTTAACTTATCTAGTCACTTTTCTGTTTTGCTTTTTCACCGTGGAGATTTGATGAGTGTACTTGGACAGAGAAACCGGAACACACTAGTGTTGAAAGCTTGCAGAATAAAGATAAATATGTAATCTTTAATAGTTTCATTCATCCACTAATTTTTTAAACTGCTTTTCCAGCTTTGAGTCATGAAGTTCTGATGTTGCTTCAGCTCACGTTGAAAGAAAGGAGTATTTAGAGTCTTGCTCAAGTAAATGAGCAGCTTTTGAACTAATTGAATACTCATAATTGTGCACCACTTTAAATAGGGCGAAGTAGGTGAATTGGGATGATATTTAGCCTCTTTCTAGATCTTCAGTTCCTCTTCTTGTTGTTGGCTAACACTTGTCTTGAGTAAAGAGCACAAAACCACAGAGACCTTCGAGAACACTCGCACTAATGAAAGAGATTATTACACAGCTTTGACAAAGTTACGAAACTGCTGTTGAGATGAGGGTGATTCAGATCAGGGCAGATTTTATTGACTCAGCAGCTCCACTGGTTCATACCAGCGGAAAGCTTCACACACAGAACAAGCGATTACAAGATTTAAGAAACACAGTCAAGAATCCTTTCAATTGTGGGAAACCAGCCACAGATTACGCAGGACGTTTTTTCAGTGATCTAAAGTCAGCTAAAACCTCAAGTACATGTACAAGTCCATCTTAAGTTTCCCAGGGAACATCTGAATGATTCAGAGGAGAACATGGTGAAAGAGACTAAAATGTACCTGGTTGGCATCAGTGTTGTTTTTGTCATCGACGACGATAATGAAAATATTTAGTTGACGAACCGTTTTCTC